CATGTAATGCGACTATGGCTGTGAGTGACTGTAAATAGCATTACTCTTGTCGATGTGAATAATTCCATAAATTCAGTCGTAAAACAATTGTTCTAAAAAACTTGGAGGTATTTCTTAAATCTGTAACTTGGATATTAAAGAGTGATTATAGTCGTCACCAAACAGAACACATGTTAAATTCTAACTTCTCAACTTTCATTGATTATTATTGCGTCAACGGAAGAACAACTCAATTCATCCATCTCCCACCAACTTTAATTGGGAATTTATTTTAATTATTATTATTATTTGCCAAATCAAAATTAGTATCACTAAAGTACTAAAATTTTATCAGACATGAGTCATGCAGAATAACCGTACAGTCATTTTATTAAAATGTCCTCTATCTTCATCTATTTAAAGTTGACAAAAAACAAATATGTTTGATTGTCAATATTTTTCCACCAAAATTCATATTTTTATGTTGTTTGATTGTCAATTTTTTCACGGAAAATATTTTCCTACTTTTGTTTATGTGATCATATTATCATCAAAATCAAAGAAAATGTTTTCTTTAGAGAAGTATGATTTTACTTTATTTTTTCCAGAAATTCACTCTCTCTCTCAATTATATATCCGCTCTCTCTCACTTACCCATCAATAAAAAACGGATAAGTATAATATTTTATATATTAAAAATTAAATCAATCAAACACATTCAACCATTGTTTGAGCCACATTATTAGAATGGAAATGTATTTTTAAATAGTATATTGATGGGAAATACGTAATTAAAAAATAAAGAAAAGTTTTTAATTTACGTATAATATTATTTTATTAAAGAATATTTGGTAGAAATAATGTCAAATCACTGCTGAAAAATGTATTTTTTTCAAATAATGTGGCTCAAACAAGGCCTTAATTGATAATTTCCATGCATATAAGCTCTAGACAATTAAATTATCTAAAGTTTATTTTCTTTTCATATAAATTTCATGCTTGTAATCAAAAACGCAAAATTCTTCAACTTTGACTAAGTTGATGATGCTGCCTAATTTGTACGAAATTATGCAAAGAAAAAGAGAGAGTACGCGCCTAAATCAAGTAGACATTTCCACCGACTGAGTTTTAAATTCGTGCAAAAAGGCAATCGAAGATTTTGATAACGCTTTTAAAGAGACAATGGCATATTTGTCCAAAATTAAAATAAAATAAAATAAGCATTATTTAGGAAGTAAAAAGTGGTGAGCCCATTTTACTTTCACCCTTTAAAAATGACATCCCATTTAATTTCCTATATTTAATTCCTATATATGTTTTAAAATATAAGAATATATGATTCATTATTAAGTATTTAACATGATGAGTTGTAAAATGTCCAAACTATTTAGTTTCAAAGTAATATTTGTTTTATTTAATTTTATATTACTACCCAAAACGCTTTGAGCCCTTGATTATTTCTCATTATCTAAAAATTCATTTTTCTTTTTCAACTACATATTTTTATAATAAAATATTTTACACGCAAATTTAAAATTTTTCTACTTTTTAACCCCACATTTTTCAAAAATTCACTTTTACAAACCTCATTTTCACCAATTAAAAAAATGGAGTTCAAACACATCCTAACTATCAAAGCGACCATCGTAAAAAAGAAGACATAACTCAAGTAACTCAAGAAATAAGATGGAAGGTAACTCAAGAAATGAGAGAGAAAAACGTTGTTGACAAAATAAGCAATTATTTATTATGCCCGTATTTGATCCCCATTTTTGGGGTATAATGTATTATAGAATAATGATTTTTTGAAAAATATATGATTAAAAAATAAGAATTTTTTTAAAATATGTGTATAATTATTTTATGGTAGAATGTGTAATTGAAAATGACATTTGAAAAAATACATTTTTGAATGGGGCTCAAACAATGAATATAAATGTAAATAAACCTATTTAAGTAGGATCGAGCTACATAGCTCGTGCGGGTGATCGCATGGTTGACATAATACACACACATGAGGGTCAGAATTATTTTATTCATAAAAAATCCACGTCGACCATGTAAAGGTGTGGTCACCTGAGTCTCAATGTTCGACATTTTCCATTTAAGTTTATTTTAGTAAATTTGTTAAACTAAACGAGTCTACTCTAGCGTCGCAGGCCTACAACTTGACCTTGTCCTCGTGGGTATTATTCTTATTTTTTTCTCCCAAACAAAATGTGGTCCAAAATTGCAATTTGATCAATTTAACACCACAAATCTACGTCATGTGATGCACCTTTGAAATCACACATGCCCTTTGAGCTTTCAATAAATGGAATTTGGATTCATTGAATCAATTCATATGTTATTTTAATTTAATGGTAGAACAAGCATAAATTCAAAATTGATTATTGTGTATAAAGTTTTACTAGCTAAAAGGAAATAAAATTGAGTTGCAACTTGGTACTTCATTGATGAAAGTTGATAAAATGTTATGCATTACTATTATTCAAAGCTAATATTGATTGCTCAAGAGTGCAGTAACAGGGTAGTGTTAGACAAAAAAGCGTTATGCGTTGAATGAAATTCATCTTAATCTATGTAAGCCACGATTAGACGAATTTGATGACAACTAAAAAGACACAGTAAATAAGTGTTGCATTATAGGTTACATGTTTGTGTATGTTTTACTATGTACTAACCAAATTACATGAAGTAGATAGTTATATCTTTAAAATAGGGATGACAACGGAACAGGTATGTGATGGGTCAACCATTTCCATCCCTATCCTATCAAATATTTTTGTTATCGTATCCTCATACTCATACCTTGATAAAGTTGGACGGGATGGGTTGAGCGAGTCCCTTGCCCCATTTATAGCCCCATTTATTTTTTTTATTTTTATTTTATTTTTTATGTCTTTAATTAGTAAATATTATTACTTTTTTACCAATTTGTTAAAAACAACTTATGTTCTCTTTAAATATGATAATAAATCTATTATTTTTATTTGATAAAAACTTAAATTTGAAATTAACATTAAACAATGTGTGAACTACGTTTTCGTACCCGTTTCAGGACTATGACCCTTGCCCCGTACCCACCCCATGTACCCAGTTAGGCGGGCAATCCCCATTCCATTCGAGATTGGGCCCACGAGTATTGGTTTGAATGAGTTTTTTTGTCATTCCTACTTTAAAAAACGCGATATTAGGACACAAACCTCACAAGTACACTATGAACTCTTATTTCTATAAAATAAAAAAAGAGTTTTCATCCATGTTTGGTCCATGCTCTTGAACCTCGTCAGTACACTATGAACTCTTATTTCTATGAAATAAAATAAGAGTTTCCAACCATGTTTGGTCCATACTCTCGAACCTCATCAGGACACTATGAACTCTTATTTCTATAAAATAAAATAAGAGTTTCCAACCATGTTTGGTCCATACTCTCGAACCTCATCAATACACTATGAACTCTTATTTCTATAAAATAAAATAAGAGTTTCCATCCATGTTTGGTCCATACTCTCTTAAACTAATTTTTATTATACTAATTTTCAATCACACATGCTCCTATTAATTTAATTGTACATGTGGGCTCATAATTTCTTTCTCGTTTTTGACCACGTATTTTCCAATAGAGTCGTTTTTAACAAAATTTATTCTAAAAAATTCTATTTCAAATTTGCCCTTAACATAACACATGAAAATTTGACATGCATAATGTGAAAACCACCATACCAATTCATTTGATACTTACTTTATAACAACTCCCATCTCTCTAAATTGATATGGAACTGATTTTCAGAGTTCATTGTTAAGAATGTTTCTAGATTGATATGTAGGGGCCTCTTTAAACGCAGTTGTAACGTGACAATTAATTTTGGTGCTCTAAGGTAACAAAATTAAAAGAGAAGTAATGGGTCGTGTCGGCCAAATTCGTACCTTATCTTTTAAGAAATATCAACATGGCGGCCATGTTGTCAATGCACTCTCATCAATCATAAAATAAAAGAATTTCATTGCGCGAAAAATATGAATAATATTATTTATTGATGGTTATTTTGTGACGTGGCGTTAAACAAGAATAATGTTATTAATTTTACTAGTGGGACTTGTTTGTCTCTACCATATTGTCCAATATATTATGATTTATTGAACAATATGAAAGTGATATCATGACTTCCTCAATGCCACATAAATTGGTGCTACTAATGAAGTCCTTGTTTGATCATTAAATAGAGTTTTTTGGGGGGGAAAAATTAGGATAATATTTTTTGGAGAATGTATGGTAAAAGAATAAGAAAAAAATTATGAATTTAATTGTAAAATATTTTTTTGTGAGAATGTATGATTGAAAATGAATTTTAGAAAAAAAAAAAAAATAAATAAAGAGTTTTGGAGAATGGTAAACATATAGGGGCCTAATAGTGCAACCAATAAAGTACTTTACTTTAAAACCATAATACCTTGATACTATTGTTGATGGCTGGAGGAGGGGTATAGTTCCAAACCTGAATCATAAAGGATATATATATATATATATATATATATATAATAAAATATTTTTTTCTCAAATTCATTTTCAACCACACATTCTCACAATAAAATATTCTGCACGTAAATTTAAATTTTTTTCTATTTTTAAACTATACATTCACTATTTCAAAACTTATTTTTTTTTTAAAAAAAATCATTTTAAAGATTATCAGAAAGAGGATTAGTGTGTTTGACCACATTATTTAAAAAAAATGTATTTTGTAATAGTAGATTGATGGAGAATGTGTGGTTAAAAAATTAAAAAAAATTTGAATTTGCGTGTAATATTATTTTATTGAAAAATGTGTGATAAAAATGATATCAAGTAACCAATACTTTTTTTTTTTTTTTTGGAAGAATGCAGCTCAAACAGGTTGTTAATCAATCTTGTCAATCCGGGTCACGTCACCCGGTAAATAACATTATTCGGAAAATTGTGCATACTTAAAAATTAATATATCCACTTGTTCCACACCTCCATATAGATATCAACACATGGCCTCAATTGCTTCATGTTTGTATATATAAAAGGAGAATTTCTTCCTCACAATATTTTTGTACTTTTCCTTTATGGTTATTCACAAACATACATATAATCTAACGTAGTTTTAATTTCTTCTCTTAATCTAATAGATGGAGAGGGGTGGTTGTGCTTCTTCAAGAAAGCAAAGGCAAAACCGACAAGACAAACCCTACAGAGGAATAAGGATGAGAAAGTGGGGAAAGTGGGTGGCTGAGATTAGAGAGCCAAACAAAAGGTCAAGAATTTGGCTTGGTTCTTATTCTTCTCCAGTGGCCGCCGCCCGCGCCTACGACACCGCCGTGTTCTACCTCCGTGGCCCGACCGCCAAGCTTAACTTCCCTGAATCCATAGTGAAAGAAGATGATCAGCCTCATGATTTGTCCGCTGCTTTCATTAGAAAGAAGGCTACTGCTGTTGGTGCTAGAGTTGATGCAGCTCTTCATGCATCCACAGCTGAATCCAATTCAATCGGATTTTTCGAAAAACCCGACTTGAATGAACATCCAAGTCCTGAGAGTTCTGAGGATAATTGACCACAGAAATAGAAGGGATTTTAGGGTTTTCTGTTGAAGTATATTCTAAATAAAGGATTATTTGTTGGTATTCAGTTTCTTAATATGAATATTTAGTGTTATTGAGCTCATATATAGAGTTGCCTAACAAAGTTTTCGATAAAAGTTTTAGCATATTTTAACAAAAGTTCACAAAATGTGTAGTTGAAAAGTTGATAAAAGTTTCAAATTTCATGAAAATGTATGATTAAAATTAACTAATGACGTTGACCTCAATTTTTTGCTTACTTTTTAAGCTTTTCCAAACTAGCACTCATTGTTAATGAGTTTAATTTTTATATTCATGGCCTTCTACTGTTCTATTTATTATTGTGATTGAATTTGGATAATTTCAGAAGGAAAAAAGTGGCCATAAAATAAGATGATGATAAGAATATGCAACTAGTACCCCTTTGTCCCTGTCATTGCACAATGAAAAGTCTGGAATAATGTGGAGGTGGGCACTGAGACTGATTTGTTTTAATTTGGGGTCACTGAATTTTAGTGAAGTTAACCCAAATTAAGTATTTAAATATGATTTGGAAAAAGTTTATTGCAAAAACAGATCTTTTTCAGTTATAATTTTGTTTTATTTCTTATATCAACTATTAGGGCAAAGGGAATTTTATGACAGTGTTTATTGAGCTTTATGAATAGAGGACCAGTCTGAAACACCATCTTTAATTTGGGCAACTTATATTGTGGGGTTTCGTAGGTATTAAAATCATATTTTTAGTAAATTTTGATAAAAATTGATGAAACGTGTGGCTGAAAAGTTGTGGATTTCATAACATATGTATTTAGAATTAATTGCTGATTATAACTAAGATTAAAATCTTTAATCTTTACCAAACAAGGGCATTATTATTTTTTATTTATTTATTTTTTTTCAATTTTCAAATTTTAGTGAAGAAATCAAAAAAAAAATTACAGAAGTAGGAGTATGAATGATAAGTTTTTAAGGGGAATAATGCACTTGCAAGAATATTTAGACATTCATTCCTATCTTTCTTTCTTCATTTTTTTTTTTTTTTTTTTTTTTTTTTTTTTTTTTTTTTTTTTGCCCTTTAACGTATTTAGGCATCAGCTACTTTTCCTAAATTGTCTAGAAAACAGACTAAGTGATTACAGTTAACAAAATTTTAGACGGTATGGAAATTTCTTTCTTTTGGCTAAAATAAAGTTGTCTTTAAAAAAATAAAAAATAAAAAATAAATAAAAATTGTCCTTTACAATCTCATAAATTTCAGTTTTCATGTTTAATCATAAAACTTATATCATATTTAATGGTAGTGTAGGTTTTTCTTTTATGACACAATTACTCTGCTGCCTAACTGTACCACAATAAATTCTTGAACTGTGTGTCTATTTTCTGCTGAATTCTATAGTACACTATCAGTTGTCAATTAATTTGCATGAAGCAGCGACGAGAGATACGAGAAAAATAAAAGAGTAGAGAGAAGTTGAAGAAATTAAAAGTTCGGTTGGTTGAAGTTGATTAATTTACATTTTCTAGTGTAGTTGCAACATAAAGTAGTTTCTATAACAATAAATATTAGGAGTCAAATGAGAACTAGCAAATGAGAGGGAAAGCCTCAAACCATTACATGGAGATCATTTCGGGACGAATCCACATAATCTCGGCGACAGCTAAGCTTTGGGCCTCTTTTATATTTTGGTATTGTTCTCGTTATTGCCAAATTCTTTATATCGACACGATCCATTCTTTCGTAGTACATGATCGATAGAAATTTCGATCCTATCTAAACTACTCATTTTCAAATGAGATCCATCTCAAAATGTTCTACTATCTCTGAACATACAAACTATTGAGATTTGAGGTTTCATCTCAAAATGTCAATCTTATTAAGAGGTGTGGTTCAAACTTTTATAAGTTGGTCTATGTTTTTATCTTTATTCAATGTGAAATTTTATCTCTTAATATGACTCACAAGATGGTGGTTCATTTGAGTAAACCAATTTTGAAATTCGCATGCTCATTTTTTGAGTTTTAATGAGATTGAATTGTTCGTCGAAACTTAATGGACTCTAATACTATATTAAAACGTTGGGTTCCATTTTAAAATATCAACCTTATATTTTAATAAAGTTTATACTACAAAAATACTGAAGAAAGAAAGATGCGCTCAAATTTCACTATCATTTGCACCTTCAGTTGGTCGAAGATATGGTATCTTGGATTTACTCTTGGAACTCGATAGTCAGAAATTGTTGCTTAGAGCCAAATGGTACACCATGTGAATTGAATCATACATGCATAGGAGTAAAAATGATTCCATGAGATGCACGAAATTTTTTCTTGATATGGGGTATTTAGTACTCTGTGTTAGTGTTTAATTGACATGTATATTAAATAAAAGGGACCAACTATTTAATTGAACCTCAGATATACGTCAATTAATCAGTAGCAAAAGCACTTAATTTAACAGTCCATGAGTACTAAAAGTTTTCTCGAAATGCATAAAATAAAGAGATTTAGCCATTGTTTGAGCCCCGTTCTTTGAAAAAATATATATATTCTTAAAAAGTGTTTTGGCATCATTTCAACAACAAATACATTTTTCAATAAAATAATATTACACACAAATTTAAAACATTTTCTTATTCTTTAACTATACATCCCCATCATTACATTATTCAAAAATACATCCCCCCTTCAAAAAAAAAAAAAAATGAGGCTCAAACAAAGGCTGTAATTGCTAAACTAGTAAACTATACACCTAAAAAGTAAAATACATTTTGTGAGTGATTTTCTCCTATCTTTGAGGCGTTGGATAATGTTCTTGTTGCTGTAACTCAAGTTCATGGACGTTCTCCAAAGCACTACTACTTTGGTGTATAGACATGTTTTCGGATTGAAGAAATGAGATTAAAAAAAACCATTGATTGAGAAATCGAGACGTAAACCAAAATCTCTATGTCCTAGGTTAGTAGTTCTTGCTCTCGTCCTCTAACAATTTTGATACCCAAGACTTGTGTCTTGAGAGCGAATGCCAATGGACACTTCATATCCCTTTGAATATGTTTTCCTAGTTTTTTTTAAGTCATTCAGTTCAATCTTTCACGCGATTTACATATGAGTTCCTAGTTAGATATGAAATATTTTTATGTCCCTTTTATTTGCCTACCAAGATAACTAACCAAACCATCAAACACCTACAATTCGAAACATGACCCTAACAATTTTTCTTATCAAATCCTCATTGTCAATCCTAGCTTATTCTACTGAAAGATGAGATTTTACTCTTAAATTGAAACCATATACAATCAATATAAGAAAAAAGGGTTTTAGCAACATGTAAAAGGCAACATTCATCAATTGCATGTTACTAAAAGGGGTCAATTGCAACATTCAATAAGAGTATGTTGCCATTAACACTAAATTAAGATTTAACAACGTTTTTTTAATGAATGTTGCTAAAACACCCTTTTACAACGTTCATACACCGTTGTTATTACTTTTTTTTTGCAACGAGCAATGCGCGTTGCTGTAGAGTTTCAACAACGTTCAAAGAATGTTGCTGTTATTAGTTTTAGTAACATTCAATGAACGTTGCCGTTAATCAGTTTTAGCAACGTTCATTTGAATGAACGTTGCGGTTAATCAGTTTTGGCAACGTTTAGACGAACGTTGCCGTTTGTTGGCATAAAGAAAATAAATAATAAATTTAAAAAATTCCCCTGAGTTGGAATAGATCTAAACCATAGATTATCAACATCCAATAACAGTCGTTAGATCCTAATATAAAACAAAAGCCTCTCTCATTTAGCGCAAGAAACCAGATGGAGCCGACTGCGCATCTCTCTCTTGTCCCATTTCATCTAATCTCATGTTTCCTCTTCTTCTCCTTTTTCTTTAAGCCTTGATTTAGTTTCTTACCATGCTCTCAGTAAAATGATGGCAACGACTTTTGTCAATAGTGTACTCTATCTACACAGACAAAGTATCTCCAATAATTGAACTCTAAAGAATGCACTGTTGAGATGTGATATATGATCACGTTTGATAAATTGAAAGTGGGCAGTTTAGTCCCTATTTTTCCTACTTGATTCTAGCATATATTTATTGACACCACACACATAATCTCTTGGTTAAATTTACCGAAGTTCCATCTAGGTCAGAAAGCATTTAACATAAATTCCAGAGATGGCAATTCTGAGATTTTTTTTGTCTATTCATGCTCTTATGGTAGCTTGGACTGTAGTGTAATCTTCTGGTTGTTGATTACAGTGTTATGATATAAATGAACTTCTCCTAAACATTTCAGGTGATACCTCTTTCACAATGGATTGAAGAAATACAGACTCCAAATGCTATTTTGTCGAAGCACCAAGTATCTTCAAGATGGGAGGCTCTTTCCTACAAGAAAGATGCAGGCTACGAAGAAAGTAATGGGAAGGATTTTTGAGAGTTAGCCAACCCAATAGTTTGAAGACAGCAAGTTGTAAATTATCTTCTTTTATACAATAATTTTCTATTATTTAAGAGGAGTGTAAGATAATGTTTATTTGATGGGCAATATGTAAATGAAAATTTTTCTTCGATTTATTACAATGATGTGTTTTGTCTATTTGATATGGATTAATAAAATTATATTAATGTCATGTTGGCCTAAAAAGTCTTTTTTATTTTGTGGTTGATTTGGTAAATTGCTATACATATAGAAAAAATGCAAAAAAATAAAATAAAATAATAATAATAATAAATAAATAAAATTAAATAACCTACGGCGCCATTCATTGAACGTTGCAAATGCAATTTTTCGCAACGCTCAATGAACGTTGCGAATGATGGTTTTCGCAAAACGTTACGAAAACCATCATTTGTCCTGTAACGACCCAAATCTTGGAATTTGAAATTGTACAAAAACAACAACGTTTTTTTTTATAAAAATAAATAAAATCGGGTTAAATTTATTTATTTTATTAATTTTCTTTTTATTTTGTAATTTGCTCTTACATTCTATTAAAAGTTCCAAAAATTATTGAAAATATAACTTATTTAAGTTAGATAAGTTAAATGACAAAACTAAAAGGGAGGATGAAAACGGATGTTATCGTACTTTAACAG